AAACTGCTCTTTTAAGTTACTTCATTGCAGAAGTTAGAAAAAAAATATTTTTACACTCAATATAATTTCTTGAAATTGAGACTTGTTTGTGGTTGTGGGTGTTTTTTTTTTTCAATTTAAATTTTTATGTACGTAAGAGAAACTGAAATTTGCAAGGTAGCATAAAGTGTCAGCAAACCAAAATAAATAAATAAATATATAAATAAGACAACTATTTTAGTCTTAATTTAGTGGAATTTCTCTGAATGAAGCTGAAGCTAGTGAAGTGCATTGATACAAAAGGGCAGTTCTGACATCAAAACTGACTCACAATGTGTTTTGTTGCTATTATATGGAACTATGTAAGAAACAAAAGTAGATCAATCTCTTTAATTTAATTAGCTTTATAAAAATATTGCAACGCACAAATTATAAAAGGAAAATGTTTTATGATATTTTACTCTAGAAAGGTAGTTTAGTAATTAGTGCTTGGTTCATTTAGAAATCTGTATTCAGAACTAAAATTTAATATACATCCGTATAATCCAGTGTATTATAGAGTGAGTGACTGAAAAGGCACATGTATCTCTTTGGCATATTTAGCAGAAAATGCCATACTGAAAGTAGGGCCAACTTAGTTTTAAAAACTGTTCATGTCTTTCCATCCCCTGAGATCAAGTACTCTGAAAACTCAACTACTGCTGAAAGCCCTGTGCCTTGCTGCTGGAAAATCATACAGATTGAAAATCAACCTTGGGGGGAAAAAAATAGCAGTACAGGAATTGATTATGAGCATTTACCTTGTTTTGCTATTTTGTAGTCTCCATTATCAAAAAAAGCCTTGATGACACTATTTTATTTTATTTTATTTTATTTTATTTTATTTTATTTTTTATTTTATTTTATTTTATTTTATTTTATTTTATTTTATTTTATTTTTCCTTTTCTTCATTTCCACCATTGAGTGCGTGTTTCTTCAGAAAAACAACTGATGGGTTGCACTAGAGAAATGATTGTAGGCAAAGCTAGGTCAAACACACAAATCAAATCAAACAAAAGTGAGAGAAATGTGTATTTTGTCCAGTCTCTTCACTGGATGCTGTTTGTAATGACAGTACAGTAAAAGGGTTATATTGATTGACTGACAGAGGTAAAATTACAAGGCTTATACTAAAAGATTTATGAAATCAGTGTTTGCCAGCTCTGATTGTCCAGAATGAATATATACATGTGTGTGTATTGTTTGTTTGTTTTAATAGATCTCTGTGTATTCTGTGGACCTGACTTTTATTATTATGACAATGTAATACCTTCCTAGATACCTGTTCTATTGTTTTGTTTTGTTTTCAATTATGGTTATTTATTGCTTGACACATACAAGGACAGCTCTTATAAAAACCCTTTCTTGCTACTTTAATCTATTTAAATTCCAACCTGTTTTTTCTCATTGTCCTGGCATTTCTGGAGGTGGTGTGGGGAAGGACAAACAACTTCAATATATGAGCTTATCCAGACAGTAGCAGGAACAAATACTAGTGAGAATTTCCTTTGTGAAAGCTTTGATTCTAGACCATGAGAGCACATTTTAACAACATGAAAATAATCAATGACGACTCCATTCTAGGAGCACTAAAGGAAGTAAAATGCTCAGAAATTGAATCGGCGACCTGGAAAACAAGCTCACATTCAGTGGTGATCTGATGTTAGGAGTCTCTGAAAAAGTGCAGAGACTGAGGGATTTCTTTCTGCTATCAAGAAATTGGTTATGAAAAGGAGTTAATAGATTTCACAAGCTGCTGATGGATGTCCCAACAATCAGAAGGTTTCTAGAATGAGTCTAGCCTGAAACTGGAAAGGTTTCTGAGTAGATGTAATGCTACCTGACAAAGTTACTTATCTAACACCAAAATAGACTGGAAGTTGTGGAGCTGTGAATCAGTGGAAGCTGGGAGGGGATTCTGGGGAGTAAGAATAAGAATTTCTTCTTACACTCTTCGATACAGCATCAGGTATTGGCTGTTGCAGCATATAAGCATCAACAAGGACCTCTTGCTTGTTAAGCCTGCAGTCCAACCCTGTGCTAAATCCCCAAGAAACTGGATTGGGGCTATGTAAACCCTTGGTATGACCTGGTGGGATAGTTTTTTATTTTTTATGTTCTTAAAATGCCCCAGACCAGGTAGCCCAAAACTAAACTGACACCCCTAGCTTTTTTTCTTTCATAATGTGTTTGTTTGTTTGTTTTTCTTTTCTCCTATGGTAAGAGTCTCAGGTATGACCTCTAGATAATGCTTAATAAAAGAGTAAACTTATGTCCCATTAGTTGCATGGACGGTCTTAGCACATTATTCTGTGTTTGATTTAGTGGCAATAGTGAACAAGCACAACGGGAAACATGTCAATCACTGGTATGTGCATTTGCCATAGAAGCTGATTAAGCCACTGAAGGGCAGAGCAGAGCAGAGGAGTATTTTTCAAAAAGTTAAGACAGAGGCATGATATACAAGAGAATACTCAGGAGGTCTTTCACATAGAAAATAAAGTGTTTTTGTTGTTTATGGACGGGTAATAGCGTTTCCCTTAAACAACCATCAGTATCAGAATGGCTCCTCAATTTTATGCTTTCCTCCATGCTTCTCAGTCAGTAGATCATCACCCGTGTGAGTGATGTGCATTTGCAGCATAACCAGCAGCCTTGACAGTGACAAGAAAAACGTTAGACATTGCAGTTGTGTTCATGCACGAAGCAATTTTACCCAAGGAGGACATGGCAGAAGAGACTGACTCCAATCATGTGATCCCACTCAGCTCCGTTTCACATCATCCTGAAATGCTTTTGTGCTGAACTAGTTCTAGGTTACCACTTGTTTGATACAGAATACAAAGAGACAGTTAGGAAAAAAAAAAAAAAAAAAAGAGAGAGAGAAAAAAAAAGAAAGAAAAGCACGACTGAAGTAATAACGGTGCAGTATGTGTTTTCCAGTGCTTTTCTCTCAGGATTTATGCTAGAGGAAAATATATCATACCAAATCCATCAGCCTGAAAGAGGCAAGGATACTGGCTCTCCATGCCTTCAGGTCCAACCAGTAGTGAGGCTGAACATGCATTCATGGCAGACAATGCAGTACATGTATATATATATACCCCATACAAACACATATATACATGGCTGGACATACAGATCACAGACGTGACCTGGGGAGCTGCTCCTGATGGCTCATGGTGATGGGTTTCACACCCGGACATGGGGTCTAAGGCTCTGCTGGGATGACCCCAGGAGGGGATCAGACAGAGTCTCCCTTCCTCGAGTCCTTAATTTGGGCTCTCACTCACCTTCACACCCCTGTGGTCCTCTGGGCTTGTGTGTTGGGTGTTTCATGGCTCTGCAACCTACCTGGGGACAACCTAGCAATTTGTCAATAGACTGACAATATGTATTATTTAAATCTACTTAATATCTGTTATTTAAGCCAAAGCACATGAGCCAGCAATAAATCTGAACAGGAAGAGAGCACATACAATGTGCAAGAAAAGGGAAACAAAATGCTCAACAACCTCATACTGTCTCTTATTATTGTAGAAACTGTGAATTAAAAATACCTTGTCATGGCATAGTATTCTGTACAGTGAAGTACTGTGAATTTGACAGGAGTCAATACCGTGGGCAACAAGCAACACAAGAAAGGATCTTAGAGAAGATCCTGTGTAAGCATCTGGACAGCAAGGTCATAGCTGCACTGCTGGATTCCTCGCGAGATGGAGTATCAAGGCAATAGCTTGGAGGCAACTACCTTGTGAATGAAAATCTGTACAAGGAAGGGCATCAGCCTTTATTGGAAACAAGGGTAAATATTGCTGTATTAGGGTCTAAGTTCAAAGGTCGGGAACTTACTTTTGTTCCTTTACACACAATTTGCTTTTCACAGGCTTTCCATTCAAACGTCAGGCAAGGATGCACTACAACTAATGCTTACTGTGTGAAGTAGGAGGTGACCAAAAATGAACCTTGTATGGGGATTTCAAGGAAAAATAGTAGGGTTAGACAAGGAACTTTAGGTATATGCATGAAAATGAGATGAATTACTGACACGCAAATTGATAGAGTAGCAAAAGGCTGATCCACCCTGAAGGTACTGCTGTGGAACGCAGCAGGTAGTGTTTTGTGACACACAGCACTGAGACAGCACGTCAATAAGCAGTATTTTTTGCCATACTCAGAGGGTGAACACGCATTTGGCAGTGTACTTCACTGGGTGTTGTTGATTCATCAAAGAGACTGGGCAGGAGGCTGTGAGAGGATGCAGCTTTTTCTCTCAGGCAGAACCCAAAGGGTTGCAGTGGGCGCTCGTCGCCGGAGTTGTCTCCTGTGTGCTAATGCAGGCTTCGGTCCCTTACTGTCTTCTGTACAGCATGAATGAAATATCACAGGGAGACTGCAGAAGGGAAAGTCTTTCTGTGACAGCAGTGTCCAGATGACACCCTTGAAAAGCAACGCTTGTTTTACAGGGGATTTTAACCAGCCTGTGCAATTTACTACTGAGGGATATTTTTAGCGCTTGGAGTTTGGCAGATTTCAAAGCCGGGTAGCACTTTTATGGACAGAATAAGAACACCTTCGTCATGTCAGAAAACAGAAGGAATATCGCTGCGTACAGGGGTGAGACCTCTGGGAGAAGGGCTGTCTCTTCCTGTATCCTCTCCTAGAAGAGAATTTGAGGGGAAACCCTCTCTTGAACGGGCTCCCAGTCTCCAGGTGACATGGATCAACACGCAGAGCCCCCAAAAGGAGCATTTTTCCCCTCATTTTCCTGTCATCCCACCCGGCCCAACACGCCGCCGGCCGGCAGGGGGCGCCCCACCACAGGCGCGCCCCCTCCCCTCCCTCCCCTCCCTCCCCTGTTCTGCGCGCTCCCGGGGCGGGCGGCGCTGATTGGCAGGCGGCGGCGGCGCGCGACGCCTGCCCGAGGGGGCGGGGCTTCGGTGGGGGGGGCGCAGGCTCCTATATAGCGGGCGGGACGCCGCTGCCGAGAGCAGTCGGCGGGCGGGCGGTGACGGGGAAGGAGGGGGTGCGCGCTGGCAGGAGCAGCAGCCCCCCCCCCTATATATACACATACACACTGCTCAGTGCGCTTTTAGTGGCGGAGCCGGCCCCGGCCGTGACCATGCTGTGCTACGTGACCAGGCCAGACGCCGTGGTGATGGAGGTGGAGGTGGAGGCCAAAGCCAACGGCGAGGACTGCCTCAACCAGGTGAGGCCCGCTGCGGGGCGGCCGTTGGGTGCCGGTGACCGTTGGGGGCCTGAGGGGGGCGCTCCCTCCTCCCCCCCACCCCCTCCACCCCCGTTGATGGCGGGCGGGCCCCCCCCCTTCTTCCCCTTTATTTATTTATTTTCTTCTCTCCTTCCCTTTATTTTTTTTTTCCCCTCCTCCATGTTGGATGCAGGGGTTGCAGCATCCCTCGGTCGCGGCCCGTCTGCCCCCAACCCCCTCCATTTTGGGGAAGGGAGGCCGCGGCCTCCTTGCTGCCCCCCAAATTCTCCCCACAGGGGCCGGGGGCCCCCATCCTGACACGGCCCCCCCGGGGGTTCAGCCTGTCGCCCCCAGGTGCTGCCGCCCTTCCCTGCCATCTTCTGTGGGGATGGGGGCAGGAGGGAGCCGAGCGTGGCTGCCAAGCCCGTCGGTGGCACCTAAATAAAACTTGTGGGATGCGCTGCTTCTCGTCGCCCTCCTGCCTCAGAAGTGCTGCTGGAGACAGGCAGCCGGCTGGTCTGAAGTGCCTGGCCTTGAGGAGCGAAGGGGTTTGGCTGCGGAGGTCCATCTTGGTGTTTACTAGTGGGGAAGTTCCCATTTTACACTGTTGTGTTTGTCAGAAAATCAACAAATCAGCTGTACGAAGGTGTTTACAAACAACACATCTTTTGTTTCAGACCACTCACCCTCAACTCAGTCTTTTAGTCGAATACTACTTCTTGCCCAGTTGTGTCATTGGTTCATTATGAAGGACCTCTTTCTTTCAGGTTTGCAGGAGGCTGGGAATTATAGAAGTTGATTATTTTGGACTGCAGTTCACTGGCAGCAAAGGGGAGAATCTGTGGCTGAATTTGAGGAACAGGATTTCCCAGCAGATGGATGGTTTAGCTCCTTATCGACTAAAACTAAGAGTCAAGTTCTTTGTAGAGCCCCATCTTATCTTACAAGAACAGACGAGGTAAGGTTAAGATGGTTGTAAGTAAAGCGAACTTATTGTTTTCAATTTCAGTAAGCTATGAAAACGATTACCCAGAGGTTCTATTTCTTCCATCTTCTGGTATTCTTTGCTCAACTTTTCAGCACAGCTTTAAAATTCCGGTGTTTACATGTATTACTCTTTTTTTCTTTAAAAAGTGATATTATTGTAAGTATTGTGTGGGGAAGAGTAAGTAATGTGTAGTTAATTCCATGAGGAACTAGCGCTGGAAAAAGCCAAGCTCCCAGTAACCAGTTTCTTACATGGTGTTTGCGTGTCCGATAGTAACCCCTGTGCAGTGGTGTTACTGTAGGTCGTTCAAAACCACTGGTACAGAAAGGCAGGAAACAATTCCTCCCACAGAGCAAAAACTTGCTGAATTCCTTCTTGTCTGGGATCATATTACAGCAACTTTCAGATGGCTACAGGCCCTTTGAGGCTACAGAAGAACAGCTGTTCTGCTGCTTCTGTGGCCTGTCCTTTTAGCTAAATTGTTATACTGTTCCCAGGGCTTAAAATTTGTCCTCTCAGATGAGTAGCAAATGTTTTGCTTTCACTCCACCAGTTTGATTACTGCATTGCCATGTTAACTGCATTAACTGCAATTGGGTTCTCTGTAAGGAAAACAGAGCGAGTATGTTTAAAACTGGTCTCAACACATTTTTTCCAGTTAGTTTTAGGTGGTACATCAAAAATAAATACAGAAAAATGTCGTGTCTGGAAGGGAATGCCAAAGCATACTTTCCTTGCTCATCTCAACTTGGTACTTCCAGAATTAAGACCATGCTTATGACATTTTTGTTCTGCACAGAATATTTGTACAGTGAATTTGGTCAGAGGCTGACACCTTGATTTGGTGTACATCTCAGGAAAAATATTGAGTTAAAACAAGGCAATGTGTATATTTCTTGAAGTAATACTGGGAGAGGTTTAGGGGAACGGTGGTTACAATCTGGCTGAAGTCTTCAGAAGGCTGCAGAGTAGACCACAGTTGTCCTATGTAACAGATTTAGTTAAGCAAGTACATTCTAACATCCACATTGTGATGTACATTATTTTTGGAAAAATTCTAATATCCATGGTATACTTTTGTTTTTTTTCAGGGTATTTTTCCTGAAAGAACCTTGTTTTCTTAAATGCTCTTAATGAGAGCAAGTATAAAACCAAATAATGAAGGATTACGTGGAACAAAAGCAACACAATCTCATGCCTGATAAGGTGGCAGAGATTACCCTGGATCTCCACACTCAGAGCAAATCAGGGTGAATCTGAGGAAGCCTAAAACAAATGATTGGCATTTTTGCTGTTGCTGCTGAATGTTTGTTCCACTTTTACAAGGCTTTTGCAGACACCTGTGTTTTCCTACCTTGAACACCATCAATGCAAGACTTGGCAGGTTGTGTAAGTTAAGAGCTTGAACTGGTGAAACATAACCCCAAGGGCCTAAAAGACAGGTTGCGTAGCTGGAATGCAACAGAGCTTGTGTGTGAACATCAAAGACCTGAGTATGCTCCACTATTAAGGTGACTTTAAAAGGTTGTAGCTGGGATGAGTTTTATGTTTGAGTTAAGACTGGTCTAAAATTAATATTTTTAACAGACTTTAAAATCACTTGAGCATCAGTCATCAAGAGATCTATGAAAACTATGCTGTGCTGGAAATTACTTAGAGAGAAACAGGCATTGAAACTAGTGCTTATTGTCACTGTCTTGCAAGTATAAATGCTCCTGAGGCACCAGCTAAGCTGTTCAGTCCTCAATGTTTTTAGAGTTTGTGCTAAAAGGCAAATCCATGTTGTGAAATAGTTTACCTTAGTTCCATTTTAGTTGCCTGTACCCACTCATCTACATGTATTAGACCTGGAGTTCTGTAGTGCCAGTGGTTAATGTGTATTTCTGCAGTGTTGACATTGAGCTACAGTGAATTTGCTGTTTTCTTTCTTGGGTGTGCTTAACGTTTTGATATGTATATAGCCATGCAGTCATTTTAGTCTGCATGTAAGTTTCCATGGGATGAAGGGAAAGTCAAACTTGTTAAACCTGTCATCGAACTTTAAATCAATAGGTATCTCATGGAATATGATTAAAATGAGCTGTACAGCTACAACTGACAACTTATTTCTTACCCCTACTTGTAAAGGCAGTTTACTGGCTGACAAAGAAATGGTGGTGGCTGTTCTGGTTTCCTTTAGCACAGTGGTGTTCCCAGCTGGTAAATAAGAGAGGGCATTTCTAATGTTGAATGTTATGCTTCTTCCTTGTGTGAAGAAAGCTGAGGAAGTCTCCATGTCTCTTACATTTAGCTTCTGAACCCGATCTTCCTTATGAGATGTGCGTGGAGACTGTGTTTGAAGTCTGGGGAGTTGCAAGTAATTCTGAAATCACTTGGCTGATAATGCTTTGCTATGACTAATAGTGAATGCAGTGACTGAGCTGTTCTTTGTTTTTTTCCATATACTTCAGAAGCTTCGTCAACACCAGTTTTGCTGCTTCATTAAAGAGATCCTTGTCTTGCACTTAGAGCTTGGCTGCGTGTTTCTGGAGCATTTTAGCACTCAGGTTTCTACATGCTGTGTAAAAAGCTGATCTGGCTACTGAACATCATCAGCCCGTGCTTCTGTTATCTTTAATCAGTGTGCAATCCAGCAGAAGATTGCAGCCTCATGCATTTTTAATATCTTATGCAAGGAATCCTTCTTACCACCAAATGGAAGGTTATAATTGCATCTTTGACCACTATGGCAACAAGCCACCTTCGCTAAGTGCTTTGTGAATGGGAAGATAGGGTGTGGGGAGGGGGAGCCTTCTCACTACACTTTCCTTTTATGCAGGGTTAAGCTTTATTTCTATTGTTCTTTGATTCTTGATTTCTAATTTTTTTATTTGACTGCCTGGTACTGAATTTCACCACAGGATATTGTGGTTTAGAATTGTTTTCAGTGGAATGAAAGTGTCTCAGTGCAAGAATGCTATTCAAATTTAATACACTGCTGTCAACTGGAGCTTTAAACAAGCCTGAAATGTGAACAGTGTGCTTGTTAAGAGCAGTTTGAATAGCTGCATGGTTTTTGAATGGAGAATCACATAGGCTTGCTAAAGGCTATCTCCCTCTTTGCTTAAAGTTATAGGTGCCAGTCCAAATCCAGACCACAAGCTCTGCCGTATGTCATGCTGGTTTTCAGTGTCTCTTGTGGTAGGTCATGCAACAGATGGCTGAAAAAGCAATGTTTTCAGCAGTGAGTCAAAGTTGCCACCTGGTTTCTGTAACTCAAGCAGAGAGCTGGGAGGCAGCTTTGTGGCTGTCCAGGAGCCTCCTGCTTGGGGCACGTGTGGGATCACCTGGGGCACTGTCTGCCTGGAGCCACAGCGGTGGAGTGTGGCTGTGGTCACCCGAGGGGAAGCGGTGGCTTGCTGAGGGCCAGCGTGGGGAAGTCAGAGCCCAAGGAGAGTGAGTGTTGATGTAAAGGCTGCTTGAGCAGTGTAAGGCGTCCCTGTGTGTACTTGGAAAGAGCAAAGCTGCTGTCTGGTGTAATGTGACAAAGCCAAGTGTTCTTATGTAAGCCATGGCGATTTAAAGCAACATGTCAGCTTCCAGCAGGCCACACGATCTCACAAAGCATGCAGAGTAGCACTTTGCCAACTTTGAGATCAGTAACCATCACTGGGAGCTGTTAAAGGTTGTGTGCTACTTTTCAAGTATTTGAATCATTTGTAAAATGCTTTTGCAGTGATTTCAGTTGTGGTTTCTTATTGGTAATGATGAACTAGTTAAAATTAGGAGCTGACTTGTAAGAGTTGAGTGGTTAGTAGTTAGAAAGTAAGAAAAACCATCCTGTTATCCCGCAGTACTGTCTAGCCAGTGCAACAGTGTCAAGGTATTTGTTACCATGCAATAAAAACCAGCTGTAATAAACAGGGTGAGTTTAATGGATCTGTTTGTCTGAATTGGAGTTGAGTTGCAGTTAGTAACCTCTGACCCACTCTGCTGAAAGCAGATAAGAGTAAACATACTGATGAATGCAATTGTAACTTTGCAGAGCTTATTTTTCATATCTAATGGCTTATCTGCTGCTAAAAATAGAATATTCTATTGCTGTGATCTTTACTATCAATATATTTTTTAGGGATAACAATTATGCCTCTTTCATTCCTTGTGACTATGCAGTTGCAAATTACTTCATAGTAGGACAGATTCTTTCCCTGTGGTGAGGACTGTCATACCCCAGGTAGGACAGGCAGTTCCTTGGGACATGTTCGAAGGTTCTCACCAGGAGTCTGGCAAGAGGATGGGCTCTCCTGGCTATATTTCTAGGTCAGGAAGTATTAGTCATACAAACACTTCTTATTGGTAACAGACTGGGTTTTGCCACTTTCCCTTCTGGCAGAGAAGTTTAGAACATAACTCTGAACATAGATTTTCCTATTTGCACTGTTTTCCCTTGGTTATTTTTTAAACTGTAGTAGGAACAAAGTTTTCAGTGCAGAACTTTGAATCCTAATGTATGTAGTTGTCTTTAATGAGTTTTTATGAAACAAATGACTTCTGTGTTGCATATACTCTTTTAATAGCACTTTTGCAGAGTTTTTAGTTTTCATCCAACTGAATTGGCAATGGATTCATTTTTAAGTGGTGTAACTACCAGTATAACTAGTGCTTGAGGAAAACATTTAACTGTTTCAAGTCTAGAGCTGCTTTTTTTTTCCTTTGAAAAGGAGGAAGTTCTCTCTGGGCAGTGACTAACAAAGCACAACTTCGATGAACACAAAGCTTGGTCCCCTGATCAGTATTTCTTTGTGCTATTTTCAGATACCAAATTCAAAGGGAATACTCTATAATTGAACACAGGAATATCTAGGCAGTGTGAGGTTTGCTGGGGGTACTAATGCTCTAAGTTACGCTGACTTTTGTACTGGTGCTGCCCTGTATAGAATTCAGGGCATGTGACTTTGTCAGGGCAATGGAAAGGTGTTTGTTCTTCAACTGCCTGAATATCTTTAGTGGTGGGGAAAGCCCAGGGTTTTTTTTCATATCTAGAGAACCAGTGAAATCTCAATTTAGGTTAGCATTTAACTTATGAAAACTTAACTACTTTGTGGTAAGTAATAGTGTCTGTAATATGGCCATCTTTTCTGCAGTAGATTGGAGCAGATCTTTTTTACAGTTAGACTTAGCAGAATTTCATGATTAACTGCCTCAGGGCTCCGTATGTTTTTGTTTTGCTCGACTGTATTCAGCAACAAAAGTGCATTCTTCTGGCTTTCAGTTTAAAGACAAAGGCTTTCATTTTGTGTAAAAAGGAAAATCGTTATATAATTAGAGAATCTAACTGGTGTTGTGTTTAACCTTGAAGGGGGATGATTTTACAGTGGATATTAATGTATTTTTGGAGAAACAGACCCATAAAAAGGCCAGATGGGCAGACAGCACTAATCAGAATAATTTTTTCATGTGTATAAAATGTTTGCAGCCTTCATTCTTTCATAATCTTTCAATTTCTTGATGCAATTCCTTCCTCTAACATATTTCAGATCTGTTAGAAACAACACAATGAATTTGCTACCTGAACTTTAGTTCAGGGCAAGTGCTGCAGCAGGTCAGTTTGGAGGTTTATGCACTGTCATTCAAAAACAAGGTTCACTGGCAGGCTCTTTGTTTAGTTAGTTTCTGTGCTGGTGTGTGTGTGTGTGGCTTAGCATTGGGCAGGAACCAGCCATGGTTTGTTCTTGGGTGGAGTCAAATCCCTTGAGATGGATCCTGACATGTGGGTGGCTTTGTCTTCTGACATTTATCCTGGCTACAGTAAGCTCTTGCATCACTTCAGTTAGCTTGCAGTAACTGTCCCTTATGCATGCCATGCCTCTTTCCCTTTTGTCCCCTAAAAATGTACAGTAGCTTAGTTTGAGATGTCTTCTCTTATGCTGTGTGAGCACCTGGGTCACTGCACATCAGTTGGTGCATCACTTTTTTGTTGCACTTCAAACTTGGTTGTCTACCTATGCCAGTACAAGCACTTTTAGTGAATGTGACAAGTTCTGCCTCCACTGTAATTCCATCTGTATCTGCAGGAGTCATCTTCTGTTTATTCAGCTCCCCCTTGATGTTCATACAGTCCTTCCAGCAAGACAATACTGACTTTTCCTTGTGTAGTCAGTGCTGTCATATGCATAAAGTAAGCAAACCAAAGTTGTGGCAGCTGAACATGCCAGCAAATGAGAACAAAATTGTCAGATTCATCTTTAAAATACCATAGGTTTAATCAGCATGTAGTTGTAATGACTAGAGAACTCATTTTCATACTGACAGGATCAGAAGTGCATGGAAAAGCTGTATTTTATGAAATGGTGATTGGAATTAAGGAGACGCCTACTGTTTGTTTTTAGGCATAGCTTTTCAGTAATCAATCAAATAATTTGACTGGCTTTATGAATTGAGCCCACGAACGTGTACAACCTCTCCACTCTAAAAGCTCCAGCTATGCCTTTGTGTGGCCTTAGCCAAAAGAACTCCAAATTAGTGGGGTGGGAGAGGGGGATTGGAGCAGGAGTTTGGGACCGGCTCCAAGAGGAGCCCAAACAAGGAGTAGCATGCTCACAGGGGAGACAGCTGTACTGTCTGAAGTTCTTGTTCCCTCACCTCTTAAATCTACATCCTGCACGGAGGGGGGAATGTTAGCTTCCCCCAGGCCCCCATTAAACTGCTGAAGTGGAGACCCATGTCTAGACAGCTAAGTGATGCAGTTTGAGCACTTAAGTGGCAACTGCAGTGATGCTGTAAGCATGCTTCATGCTGCTTGCCAAGAGAGGTGCTGGAGCTGTGGCTCATTGCTGTGCAAAGTATGGTGGGGCAGCTTAGGAGATGATAGTATTTTCCTTTCAGAAATCCTGCGTATGAGCTGTCTTTTGGGGGGAGCATTATTTGTATTTTCTGGGCGGCAGCATTTACTATCATAGAACTAAAAATGAATCTGAATTTTAGAAGTTATATAACTGACTGTAGTGCTGGCAAGGTAGCACTATTTGCTTGTACAATGAAATTGTAGAGTTACAAAAGGACTTACATAAGAGATCCAAGAGGACTATTGGAAGCAAAGTGAATCATTAACCAGCATCTTGAACTTCACTGAGTGATTCAACATAGTTTTTTTCTAAAATTAAATGTAATTTATTTTTTTAAGGAAGTGAAATGTAAATGTCCTATCACTATGGAAACTGATATCCCTGTGGGTACTAGACTTATTGAAAGCTTTTTCAGTGATAACATAGTTATTCCTACCTCTGACTTCCCTAAATACTCAATCTTAAGAACAAGTAGACAGAAAGGTATGTTATCTTCCCTGACAGAAGATAAGGAAGTTCAGGTAAGCTATAGGGGGAGTTAACAGGCTGCTATTAGAGTTAGTGGAAAATTTGATTTGTCCTACCTATTAGATAATTAAGAACAGCTTTGAATTTTCCAGCTAGCTGTCAAACCTGCCTCAGTCCCCAAGCATAAATGACAAATGTGCATACAGAATAGAGGCTTTATATTTTATTTTATGATGAAATACACTTTTAACTACTTCAAGTTACTTTCTTTAATCATGTTACTTGGAAAAGTGCTGTCTCCCCTTTGACTGGTGCCACAGCCATTTGATCTGTATAGAGAAAGCATGCTCTTTTTTTTCTGGCTGCATGGTAATGTTTTGTGCTTCTGTTCACAAATTCCTTTGTGGAAGTGATTTGTAAATAGGAACCAAAGAAAATTAAACTTAGGTAACTATTCCAGATATTTTTTATGGTTATTATATGGAATGAATTGAAGTTAGCGAATAGCCTTAGAGCTAAAGCAGCTTTTATTCAAACTGATACTGAAATGCTCATTTCTTTTAATTGTGCTTCTAGGCATGGTCTTCAGTTCTATCCTCATCTTTAAGTGAATAATGAGATGGGTGTCCCTTTTCCCCCTGTGCCCAGACCATTTGGTACATTCACTGCAAATTCTTAATTACCATATTAATGATTACCAAACATACTTGCTATGTTACTTGTTACCTACCTTATTGTTTTAACATCTTGTATAACAAATATTTCTGATTCCATTGCAGGCATATGTTTTTCTTGCATATAAAGGAGGATCTTCTGGCTGGTAATCTCCAGTGTTCTTCAGAGCATGCAATTGAACTTAGTGCATTGTTGGCACAGATGAAGTTTGGAGACTATAATCAGAATACTGCCAAGTACAATTACGAAGAGTTGTGTGCAAAAGAGCTCACCACTACCATTCTAGAAAGGTAAAAAGAATGAATTGAATCAAATCATATAGGGGCCAAAAGTGTAAGACTTTGTTATGCTGTTGCATCAGCAGGTTAGGGCATATCTTGTGGTGTTAAAATGCCGTTCTGTGCATTTTTGCTGTGAACCTTCTGGTAATCCATGTAAATACTTTGGGGTGGGGGGGAAGGCTAGTTAGAAAGCCTTGATTACTTTACTTAGAAGTAAGAGCTAAATGTACAGTTTTACATCCTGAATATTCTCAATGTTTTTAGTAATTCTCTTAAATGCTTCTGGCCTGTCTTATCTGGCTGTAAATTTCCAGTCATCGTGGACCCAGAAGAACAACCTACCTGTTTAACCAGGTCATATAAAAACCATGTTATACGAAGCTGCTAACAGTAATGGCACATCCTGGAGTTACTTCACCCAGCCTTAATCTTTTTTCATCAACAGCATTATTGCAAAGCATAAGCAGCTGGAAGGTCTCAGTCAAGCTTCTGCTGAATATCAGATTCTACAGATTGCAACAACACTGGAGAACTATGGAGTAGAGTGGCATTCAGTTAGAGACAGTGAAGGGCAAAAACTCCTTATTGGTGTTGGACCTGAAGGCATATCCATCTGCAAAGATGACTTCAGTCCTATCAACAGGTACTTGTTTTCTGGAATCATTTTTCCATGTTCCAGAACTACTGGGCATGCCTCACTTCTATGTAGACAAATGTTCTGTGAATTCCATAAAGGATCCATTGCAATGTAGGGTCTGAGGGCACCACCTGCTTGTAAGACAACTGGTCTTAAGGCTCTTGGGTTTTACATACTTCTGTGGCAGCACTTTCAATCCAGCATTATGGGCAAGTCAGAGGTCATAGTATCACAAGGTACCATAGTAAGTTGTGGGAAATGCCCTTTAAAAGCTAAATGTGTTTTTGTATTAATTCTTAGGATTGCTTATCCTGTTGTTCAAATGGCAACACAGTCTGGGAAGAACGTATATCTGACTGTTACCAAGGAGTCTGGTAATAGTGTTGTTCTCCTGTTTAAGATGATCAGTACAAGGGCAGCAAGTGGACTCTACAGAGCAATTACAGAGACGCATGCATTTTACAGGTTAGTACTGCTGCTAGTCAGTTTTGATCTTCTCTTCAAGCCTGAACAGAAGCTGAACAGGCTTTTGCTGCTTTTCATTTTGTGGGATGGGAGTTAAAAGTAAGCAAGATTTTTTTTTCAGTATACTACTCCAAATAATAGCACTTCAGAATAAAACCTTGCTGTTTTCTTTAATTCATAATACATGTGCTTGTCCCTGTGTATGAGTCAGGATGAGAGCAAAGGAATAGAAGGTAGAAGGCCTGTTTTTTCAAAATATGTAGGTGTAGCCCATATGCATGTATACTTTTGTCTTTATTTGGCTCCTCCTGTTGCCAGAAATCATCTTCCTACAATTCCTTTCCTTGCTCACATGCTTAGGATTTTGTTTCATGCCAGGAGCTATCAGTTGTCTTCATCCTTCTGTTCTTTGAGGCAAGGCTGCTGTAATTATCTACCGATGGCTGACTTTTGCTGAAACCACTTCTCACTCCTACTGTGAGATCCAACACAGGTAGAACTGACCATCAAAGATAGTAGTGGTGTTCCCTAACTTAACTACCACATTGATCTCAACTACTTAGGAGAAGAATTGGGCTTAAGTAGGGAAAGATACATATGCTAGGCAAAGCCCCATCCAGTTCCTCAAATCAGATCACTGTAATACAGTTAAAGCAATTAACATCAGTTAGTTGCCTTTCTAATCACTGTAGCTAATCAGCAGCTAACCACTGCTTATTTCATGGGCCTGATGTTAAGCATGACTTGTTATCCTCCATGATTATCAGATCCTGCACTCTTTGTGCTCTTCATACTTCTATCCAGGCAATCTACAAAGTTATTATTTAATGCTTTGACTGTCTTAACTGCTTGGTCTTCATATTTGGTTGTCACTTCTGCTGTCCTTTGCAGTGTGACTTTAAACAGAATTGTAGCTAGGCAATAGGATTTGGTTGTGAACTTAGGTTTTGGACTCAGGCCCTGTGAGGCTGTGGTCCTTGTTCTGCTTGTTCTGTGTTGTCTAGAGGGGTGATAATGCAGTAATAGGCTTCTGCAGATTTAGCTACAGCATGGGGATCCGTGGCAAGCATGGTTAGGCTAGCTGGAGCACTATGTGGCAAATCAAAATGGCTTGATTTAACAATGCTAGTATATCAAGTGTTTAGTGTCAAGTAATGCCATTAACTAATTCTTCACTAAAACAAAGAGCCTATCTAGAGAAAGGGGTGTTATGCTAAAGGCTATTACAACTATTTAATGTAGCATCTTGGCATTGCCATGTAAAGAGATGTTGCTAAGCAGAACTGTAGATTGAGCAAGTGTTCACTGCTAATGTGCCTTAATTCCCTTCTGTAGGCTATTTTACTAGGTATTTCTACATCTTCAAAGATGTAAAGTATCATCTCTGGTTGTCTTTTGCTTTGATTTTAATGCTGTTATTTCAACTTTGAGAACAATTAATTGTAGAGGGAGGCTTATCAGTATTAACTAACCCGATTTTGTTTTGCCTTGCTGTTCTATAGGTGTGACACTGTCACAAGTGCTGTCATGATGCAGTATAGTCGAGACTTAAAGGGTCACCTAGCATCTCTTTTCCTGAATGAAAATATTAATCTTGGGAAAAAATACGTCTTTGACATTAAAAGAACATCAAAAGAAGTTTATGATCATGCAAGACGAGCTCTTTATAATGCTGGCATTGTGGATCTTGTTTCGAGAAGTGATCAAACCCCACCGAGTTCCCCCCTTAAGTCTTCAGAAAGTAGCATGAACTGTGACAACTGTGAGGGTCTTAGCTGCCAACAAACAAAAGCTCTGCAAGAGAAGCTGCGAAAGCTAAAGGAGTCCATGCTTTGTATGGTGTGTTGTGAAGAAGAAATCAATTCAACATTCTGTCCCTGTGGCCATACAGTATGCTGTAAGACCTGTGCTGCCCAATTACAGGTAATAATTCCATTAAGTTAGCAAGTAGTGTAGAAGCTTGGGTTTTCTGTATACATGAGTATTAGATTAATGTGTAAAGTGATTTTAGCAAAAATGACTTTTAGAACTGTTTTCAGTAAACTAGTTCCAAAGGATGTTCTGTTCAGATGATTCTGAAAGATAAGTTTTAGCTGTTCAAGCTCTACTGTGGTGAGAGTAAGCATTAGCTGGGTCCTGCAATTTACTGTTTTAAGTATGAAGACTCAAAAAAAAAAACTTAAGTGCTCTTTATTGTAGAAAATGGTCTCCAGTAAGTATATACACTCAAAACACAAAGTAAACTAACTTCCTAATATTTTTCCTTTCCAGTCATGCCCTGTTTGCAGATCTCGTGTAGAGCATGTCCAGCATGTGTACTTGCCAACCCACACCAGTCTTCTCAATCTGACTGTGATCTGATCTGCATGTACAGCTTAAACCGATCATGTACTTCTTAAACTGCACTACTATGAATCGCAACCATTGATTGTGAAGAAGGCAACCACTCTGGCACCAATCCACGATCAAAAGCAAAAATACTGAATTGTTGAACATATCTTTGCTCAGCATGCCCATGATGGTTTGGGACATCTTTCTGGAGCAGAACTGTTAACTGACTCATGTTACTAAAACAGGAAAATGACGTATATGTTTGTAGCATGGCAGTGTTGCCAAAAAGCTAGGGAGCCCTGGAGAAATGTGGTATACACATTGGTATACCCAGCAAGAGCAATGCAGCCTTTTTATTTTACTCTTCAAATTCTTTTTAGTACAGTCATTCCATTTATTTTAATAGTAAAACTAGCTTTTACAAATATCAGTTTAGTATGGCTCATAGTTTATGCTTTTAGTAAACTGCTCAAAAGGGAGAACTTCTCTTAAAAAAAAAAAAGGTTCTTAAACTATACAAGGCTTCATCAAGCAGCTGCATTCAATTTTCTTAAATAGAAAGCAATTCTGTTCATATAGCTTTGGAAGGGTAGAACAATTTTAATTTTATAGTGCTACAGGTGGGTCAGGAAAGTCTTCTGGTTGGTAATGATGTCCTCTGGAAGCACTGCTGCAGGACTTCATTCACAGCTCTCAGTGGGTAAGGTTTCCCATATCCAACTTGGTTGGTTGGTAGTCTTGGGTGCTGTAGTCAGCTGCCCTTTAAGTTGGCTTTATTTTTGGAGGCTGGTATCAAGCTGTTAATCATATACCATTACTTCCTAAAAGAAGGGTTATGCATAACTTTAAATGCTTTCTTCAGTTAATGTCTTCATTGGTTAGGATATTTCCTGCTAAAATGTTTTTAATCTCCACCCCCTTACGTGGGCATTTTGGACTCCAGTTTCCTAGCATAATCTCCAGGATACAGAGGAACTAGAGACCATGTTTGGGTGCAATACTGGCTTAATTGAAGCTAGAAAAGTACACTGTCACTTTACTGAAACTTTCTGACTATACTTTTCATATTGCCTTAATGTAGCAGTAAGTGTGTTTATGCATCTGTTTCTTTGCACAGACATTTTGTCAAAATATTAAAACTCTACTTTTTTATGACACATTAGCATATAAACCTTACTCTAAGAGGGTATTTATTTTTTCACTTTGTAAAGAAAATTTTGTTTCCTCATGAAGCAAGAGCTTTGTCCTATATCGTAGGCAACTTCTGTCTTTTTATATTCAGGTTAATAAAGGACTTTAAAAATCTATTTTGTGTTACTTATGAGTCTTATTTTTCTGAACCTCTTCTGCAGTATTACTGAACTGAAAATACAGATTTTTCACATTTATAGTCTGAATATTGTGGGTCATCTTTCTAAGGGAGCAGTTTCCTCGGGTGTATATGAATTCTGAGGGGGGGAAGGAGAGTGGAAGAATAGGGGCATATGTATCAAAGAAGGTTGACTAACTATTGTAGTGGTGTACAGTGGTGCTAAAGCAAATATTCCGCCTTTCCCAAAGACTTTGTTCAGTGCTAATAGAATTACATTAATATCTAATCCATCATTCTATGGCAGCTGACTGAAATGGATTGTAAATTAATCTAAATAGATGTTAATATAGGCAGCTGATTTAAAGCATTCAACAAAATCAAGCTGTTAAAATAGGCAAGCATAACTCTAATTACACAGCCAATATAATTAGAAGTACCTAGACATCCCTAATAAAAAATAATCCCAGTAGTTAGAACTCCTAATTAAGGAAGGGTTTGACAGGTTAAATGGTAGAGGCTGAATTCAGGCAATGCCTGTGACTTTTTTGTAAATACATTTTGCCTTGTCTTGAAAAGCTATGCAGGGGTTCAGTGAAAGCCAAGGTGCAGGTTCAGACAAGAGCCTGGCAAGTATTGGCTCTATCTCAGGCTCTTGAAAATCTAGGCCTGTGTTGGTGAATGAAAGTGTGGAGCACAAGTGGAGGCTAACAGCTCTTTGTAATGGGGAAGGGTGGGTTCAGAATTCCTGTAGGTGGTTTTAACAAAATGTAGTTACATTTTCTGGAAATTGAGTACTAGGTAATCTGTTCTGGATGTTTCACTTGCCCTATAAGATTCAATAGCATGCAAAACAATGTAAGAGCAAATTGGTGTTCATGGATAGCTTTCTGCAAAAGTGTTATCTAAAATGTTGATCAGGCTACATTAGAAAACTATTGCTTGACTTCCCAATACTGCTGGGGTATGTATTGCTTAATGGTTGCAGTTCCAGTATACCTTCTCATGAAAGGATTATGGCTGATCCCCATGAGCTGTGAAGAGTGTAAAAAGGAAACAATAGGAGATTCTGAACTCTTCATGCCATGTAGCTGAACTTCAGAAAGAGTTGGGTGTTGCTTGCCAAAGTCCTATTGTTTCTCCTAAGAAGCTTTGTTTGTCTGGTAATGGATGGTGGGAGGGGGGAGAAATGACACAATAGCTCAGAGGAACAGCTGGAGTTTCTGTCCTTGCAGCTTCTAGGAGCTGCAGGATTGATTACAAAACTTCATCTGGTGCTGCTCCCAATTTGAGTTAGCGTACTTGACACTCGTGATGTACCAGACACTCCTGATGAAGTCAGCTCCTATACCCTACACTGATCTTGCTACCCAAAGCTAGTAAGTCTTGGCAAGAAAGTTACCCCACAGAAAATTCAGCTCTTCATTTCCAAAAGGTGGTTTCTATGATCTCATCACATGCATATAATGTCATTTCAAAAAGCTACAGCCTCAAGTTTCTGCTAAAAGTAACCAAGGCAGGGGGGAACAGTGTCACCTTCAGAGATTCTATGACTTTCTGGGTGACTCCTGGAGCCCTGTCAGTCTTGGACCTCCTGGCAGCAGGATAGCAGCCAAAAGCAGCTGTGCAGGGAGGGAGTTACAAGTTTCAACCACAGGAGAGATGTTTTTACAAAAATGCAGTTACACTTGAATGTTGTTAATAAAGAAGTTAGGGGTTTAGCCATAACTACACCTGTGTTGCTAGGACTGGAAACTCCCAGCCCTCTGCTGGTATCTGCCTGGCTTCCATCCTCCCTGCTCAAGGGAAAGCTCAACCCGCAAGGGACTACAAAGGCAGGATGTGGAGATGTTTCAAGATGCGACTGTCATGAAAACACAGCTCTGTCTTCTAGCATGTAGATGCTAAATTCAGTATACACAGAAGTGTTAAAAAGCCAAAGAACTGTAGAATAAAGGCTTCTGTATTTTTAAATTATTTTGACTTCTTTTCCCTAAGTGCCACAAAAGCATGTACACAGCAACATTCATATATTTTAAGATTTATTTCCTTGTTAAGTCAGCGCTGTTGTGCTCCCAACGGAATGCCCCTGGGGAAAATTCTCATCTGCCAGCCCACGCTGTTTCACTTCACAGCAGCGTGCTGGCACATTGATCAAAGATGGGGGAAAATTGCAGCTCAGATTTCCTCTATATGGTTTCGAACAACAAACTTTCTGCAGAGTGTTAAAATTATGAATTGACAAGTCTCAGCCTCGGTAATGCCTGGTCAAAGATCCTTCTTGAATTTCCCTCGGTTTTCACAGAAAGTGTGCTGGAGTAAATACCTCAGTCACCTTTGTGCCCGTGGGTTCAGCTGTTGGGAGCCTGTTACAACCGAAAGCAGGGAGTGTAAGTCTTTGTAGGAATTGACAAATAGGTTTAAAGGGGAAAGGAGGAGAAAAAGTGAAGAAAAAGAAAAGATTTTCCACAGTGAGGCCTAAGCACATCTTTGGGCATTGCTGCAGGATGCCTGTGTCTAGGTGGATGATGGCTGGCTGCAGAGTCTGGGGGGCTCAGGGCTGCCCCAGGAATTCAGAGTAGGGCAAGTGGGGACGGGTGGGCAGCAGTCTGGGAAGACAGGACAGGGCCAAGCAGGAGAACAGACATGCTGAGGCAGGTGAGGTGCCTACAGCCACCAGCACCCACCATGAGGGCAGAGGTGGGCTCACCATGTCTGGACGGACATGGGAAAAGAGCAGTTGCCCAAACATCCCCATCTGCTGCAATACCTTGCATCTGATGGGAATTTATCTTTCTGTCTCCTCCACGAAGCACACCGGCACCTCCTGGCATCCCGCTGCCATTTTATGGCCCTGCCAGGCCGCAGCCAAACCTCCTGGTCTGCAAGGACCTCGTAACATCAAACAACTTCAAGGTGTAAACAGCCAGCTGGAACCCCTTTGCTCAACAGTTGGTTCGACAGCAGCAGGTGGTAAAAGCGATCATGGTTCCAGTGTCCTTTTGTTTCCTGTAAAGGGTGCTTTTGGGGGCTGGCCAGTGGTTAGCTTTCATAGCACTCAGGCACACACCAAGCTCCTGAGAGGAAAAGGTCAGGCAAACAAACCATACAGGCTTTCCCAGATCTTAACCACAGGTCACTTGCTGATTTCTTGCCAAGTAAAATGCAGAATGTTTTCCAGCTGCCTGGGGCCTGGGGGAGGGCAGGACACGAGTGGGAGGGCAATCCATCTGCTGATGTCTTTCCCTGCCTTCACTTTGACCCTCTCCTGAGTGACCTGATTTAACATCTCCACTCTTCGCTGACCCTTCCTTACTCTGCAGGACTTTTCTGTTCTCTCACCAGTGATTTTTGATTTCCGTCACGAGGCTCTGAAGTCAGCCAGCCTTCTGCCAGCAGCTGTCCTTATGAACTCCACTCCGGGAAAGAATCTGACTTTCTTTGGCCAGGACCGTTCAGTGGTCACACAGACAAGCAAATCTCTTTCTGTGCCTCAGCAGGAGCACAAAGGGCACTGTCCACCACATTTCCACCTGTGGCAGCAAGAAAAAAAATCAGTACAACTGAACCTTTCCTCTCACCATTGGCGTGCCTAGACAAAAATGTTCGTCTATATCTTCCCTTTCAGGGTCACTTCATGGTTAGAATGGGATTAACTGCATGTGCATATGTTTAAAGGTGTTCATCATCTCTATTTTTACCCAGTAGTTGGTGTCTAGCTTCTCTGCTTCTTCAAAGCAAATCAATGCAGGTAATGATAGACAGCAACGTGGCAGCATTTTGCATAAACAGGCTTGCCAGAGCCAGATCTTCCTCTCTCCTGCCAGAAAGCTGTTTGTCAGAGGAATCCATGCATCTGGCACCAAATTCCAATCATAGCACGGCAACTGTGGGAATTACAGAGACATTGGCAGCTCATCTGAAGAGACAGTATTTGTTTTCCTTGTTTAGAACTATAAATAGTCAATAGAGGACTCTCATTCAAGCAGTATCGATGACTGAGGTAATCCAGGCACAGAGACATGGCCAAAAATCGGACTCCCACTCCAACGCTGACCCACCTCTTGCTTCAGAAGCCCAAGTTCCAAAGTGGCAATGCAGAAAACACATGCCCAGCAGCAAACAAGCCCTCAAGATACACCGACACACCCGCTGTTTGTGTTTGACCTTAAAACTGTTTGCCTATGCCCCTGCCTGACCCACATTTTTATTTTTTTTTTAAACACCTTCAGCTCTGCTGTGGTTTGAGCAGCTGACTTCCACCTCAGCCTTTCCAAGATCTACGAAGTGGAACAACACTGAAGTGTCCTGAGAACGCCCTGCCTACCTGGGCAAGGCGCTCAGCGCTCGGACACGTGGACAGCACATGCCCTGGCATGAGGCAGCTGCAGCGTCTTTGTGCTCAATACACTGGAGACACCTTATCATCAGGGCTTTTCCTACCCTGGGGGAGATATGTTTTTGAACCTCTCCTGGGGCTGAAGTAAATGACCACAGCTCTTCTGTTCCCTGGGTGAACTCCCTCTACTCCCTCTACTGTGACAAGAAGTAGAAGAGGACCAAGTCTTCTCTAATCTCAAAAAAAAAATAAAAAAAAAATAAAAAAAAAATAAAAAAATTGCTCAGTCTCTACTCTTAAGAATCATTTCAAGCACATTCTTGGAGGAGACTGCTAGGAATGATATGTGTGGAAAAACCTTTCGAGGGAAAGGCAGAGACACAGTGGTATTGCCACAGTGGATTGTTGTTTCCCAATAGGCGGTAATCTTGGGCAGTAGGTTCCCAAATGCCCAAGTGAAGTGCAGGTACTTTCCCCTCGTGTCGTGTTCCTACAAGAAGGGTTTCCCTCAAAATCAGTTGTCATGTCCTACAAACAAAGGCCATTACTGTAACATTTTCTCTGTGTGGCAGGAAGCTTTGTACCAATGGAAAACTGAAGAATACCAAAACCAGAGCACGGTCTACTGAATGTAAAATCAGCAGCATAGCTGTAACTTG